TACCTTTAACAATAATAATGTCAACCATTGCAAAATTGTTAGTAAACAATTTTTCATTTAGACTTTCAGTGAACAAAATAATTACATAAAACATTTCTGATTATTTCTGACCATACTCTTGGGTCAAAGTTTGGTCATCTTACTATTTGTTCAAAAGGATTCTTGTTGAACACTACATGTATGAAATAAATACAATTCTTTTCTTTCCTTTTTAATCACTTGATTATTTTTTCTTCAAATTAGTAAATGTCTGTGACCATCTTTCTTGAGACAGAAAGTGGAAGAAGAGATTCTCAATCTCAGCTCATATAAATGGCAGTCTACTTCAAGATCTATAGACAGTATTTGAATTATGCTCTTTGTTTCAATGTGTCACATTAAAAAAAAAACATCAACTACAAATCAAAAACGAAAAAAGAAGAAGGAACAATAGAGATGTTTTAAAAAAAGAACAAAAACAAAACAAAAGCAAAACAGAAGAGTCCGGACTCCGGCTCAGCGCAATTTCCAGTATAAGTAAAACTCTATCCAGTCAAATATTTACAGAAAATATTCTGATTTTATCAATAATCAGTGATACAATTCATACAATGTAGCAATCAAAGGAATATTATTTTTGTATTAGAAAGGAGCAAACCCATCAGAGACCTCAGCTCATCACAACCCAGGCCAGCCAGCCAGGGTACCGGTCATCCCTCATGCATATTCATGCATATTCATAATATGTAAATTAGCCCACAGCATCCCACGCCAATCTTTGTCACATCTCAGGCTCATTTGACACATCACTGTATGATTTTTCTGCAGAATTTAAGAATTACAACCCTTCTTCTAACATGCTGAAACAATTTACTTCAAGCATACCACACTGATAGATTATGTTATTTCAATAATTATGAGAATATCGATATTTAAATGACAAAACTGCTCTTCTCTTGACAAGATTGAAAAGAATGGTAATGCACCACTGCTGCCACACGACAGCAGTTTAACTGTGCAACTATGTGAACATGTATCACTTCATACACACTCGTCTAGGAAGATACTTACCGAATTTGGGGACACCGGACTGGACTTGCATGTATTCTGCATTATCTCCCTGTCCCTGTTCCCCTTCATTCGGTTCGAGTCCCTTCAGGAGGTTGAGCAGAGCCTCCCGAGGGACCTTGCACCCTCATCCTTTCAACTCGGTGTAACGCGTCAGACGGAAATCTTTGTGCAATTCGTGGGCTTCAGGATCGAAGCGACGAACAACCTGCTGTTGTTGCTGGACTACAACCGGTTCTGTCACTTCAAATTGCGGCTGTTGTTGCACAAGAATTGCCTGGTTATGTTGTTGCTGGACAACATCTTGTGGCAGTCCTGCCATCTTGAAATGTCGTGGTTTTTCGACAAATTTCCTCTCGAAATCTTCGTCCGCAAGGAGTCCCAATTTTCAAGTCCCTGGCAATGAGATCGTACCACGAGCTGTCCGCGTGGTTATTGTTTACCCACAATGCAGTACATTTTCAGGCTCTCCCAAGTCTGGTGTAACTTGAATGTTACTTATTTGTAATTTAAAAAGATTTATATTCATATTTTACACAAATTCTAATGCAAGGAATAAAAAAATAAAATTTGGAATCCAATGTGTGTCAGAATATTCCCATTCACGCAGAAAATTGGTGCCACTGGGTTTGTGAGGAAACGTTTAAAGCTGATAATTATTGAAAAGTTAGGCAGGTAATCAATTTTATACATTTGGTTAGGCGGTACTGTTGATCGACGCATGGGATTGGTTGGTGATGATATTACCTGTCACATGTGGCGCGAAAACTAATAACTAACTTCGGATGATTAAGCCATGCACTACGTATCATAAACATTTAGGCCCCGGTTTTTGTTTACTACGATTTTGAAAAAGAAAAGAAAATAACAATAATGTGATAATAAAGATAATGATGACAATGATTAAATAATAATAATAGTAAAATAATAAGAATAATAATGTTGATGATGATAATAATAATATTATTCCTTGCTTACCCCCTTACCCAGGGTTGCCGCACTTAGTACTGTTCTCCTAGGCCCCCTACGATCGCCCATGATATGTGCCCGGGCCGGGGGGCGTTATTTTTTTTCGGCGGCAAAAGGTTGGGGTTAGGTGCGTGTTGAGCCTATGGGAAAGTTTAGGGTTAGGGACTTACGGTTAGGGTTAGGGTTAGGGTTAAATCAAGACCTCTAAAAAAAAAAAAAAAAACCAATCTGTGCCGCAGAAGAAAATAACGCGGCCGGGGGGGGGGGGGATACTCAAATTTGGTTTGGACAGGGGTGTGCCGCTCAAGCCTCCTATTAGGGGTCATTTTGGAATATTTCATAAAAAGACCCATTTTTCCACAATTGTCGGGTGTTTTTTTTTTTTAATGGACCCATTTTAATGTCGTTTTTGTTAAAAGTGGGACCCATGTTTAGGGATTTTTGTGTGAAAAAGTGACCCATTAGAGCGGCACATCACCGTTTGTCCTAATATGTGGGTCCCCCCCCCCCCCCGGGATATTTTGTCCTAAAATTTGGCCAGATAAAGGATCCACGGTGTCTTGACAGCAGTTATAAATTATGTTTGCTCCCGTAAGAGAAAGGATGGGGCGCGGGGCCACGACCCACACGTTTATAAAGTAAAAGGGGGAAATTTCCTATGAAAATTGGGGGGGGCACCTTGCCCGGCTTTTCAGGCACTTTTGTGGCTCTGAGTAAAGATTTGAATAGTGGAGTGAGATTGTCAAGTGATTTCCAAGAATAATATTGCATCCTTATACCTAGAATCACTAAACAATCTCACTCCATGCACTATTTAAAGGGCCACTCTAATCCAACTAACATAGCATTTCAAAACATGAATACACCTCTACTTATTAATATTCCAGCCTCTGATTTTTCAAAAAATCTCTAAGTCTAAATTGACCAAAAAATGATAATAACCATCTATTTTTCACAGTGCCCCTTATACCTTATATAAGTGCCCCTTTTTTCTAATATGTGTCCGTTGCACATGCCTCTTATCATATTTGATAAGTGCCCCTATTCAAATCTGAGAGGTGTTCATTTTTACTTTAATAAATGGCTTTTTCTTTTGTAATAAGCAGGCGCGGATCCAGGATTTCTTGGGGGGGGGGGGGGGGGTCCAAATTTGAAATCAATTTGAAATTTAGTGTGCTGTAATTTGAAAATCGTGCCGGCCAATATTTCGCTCAGGAGGGGGGGGGGGGGGGGGGGGGAGGGAGAGTAGTGAGCACTATTTTTTTTCTCCCGAAAATTTCAAAAATCGCACCCCCCTTGAGCGTCAGGGAGGAGGGGGCCCATCTCCCAAAAAATGTCAATTTCACATGTTTTTACACGTTTTTTTCCCAGGGGGGGGGGGCGGACCCCCTGGATCCGCCACTGGTAATAAGTGCCCCTATTCATTACAGGTGAGTGCCCTTTTACAGGTACAAGCAGTGCCCCGTTACCAATATTTCATAAGTGCTCCTCTTTTCAAATCTGAGAGGTGCTCATTTTTACTTTAACAAGTGCCCTTTCTTTTGTTTGCCCTCTTTTCATTCTTGTGATGAGTGTCCTATCTCACCTTTGATAAGTCCCCCTATTTATTTTGACACCTGCCCCCCCCTTTTTTTTCTTCTAATGAGTGCCCTTTTTCCATCTAATAATTGCCCCTTTTCTTAAGTTTAATAACAGCAACTTCCCCTAATTCCTATAAACGCCCCTTCCGACACATTATGATAGATGCCTCTATTTGAATATCATAGGTTTTCTTTTTCCTTAGATAAGTGCCCATTTTCGTTTGTAATAAGTGCCCCTTTCAATTCTCACATGTGCCCCTATTCATCTCAGGTGAGTGCCCTTTTCAGGTACAAAAAGTTTACCATGACCTGATAAGTGCCCCTTCATCTCTTATAAGTGCCTTATTTTTAATCTGAGAGGTGTCCTTTTTTCCTTTGTATGCCCTTTTTTCCTCTGTATGTACTCTTTTCATTTTTATAAGTGCCCCTTTTCATCTCTGATGAGTGTCTTTTTTCATCTGATAATTGCCCCTTTATGTTTATATAGTAAGTGCCCTTTCTCATCTCTGCATGGTGAGTGCCCCTTATTATATCTGATTATTCCCCTTTTTACTTTGTCATGTGCTCTTTTTCTTTTGTAATAAGTGTCGTTTTCCTTTGTATCCCTTTTTACTTGTCCCATAAAAGGTAATCCTAATTCAAAGAGACTATGAGAAACCTTTTCTCAATTTCACTGAGATCGAGCTCGCTCGCTATACGCTCGCTCACAAATAAATATATTATTATCTTGTGCCATGTAGATAATGAAACAAACATTGAAGTCATCCCTGACAATGTAATCCCAATGTAGGGGTATTTACCAATGTCTAAAAAGCGTATAGTCGCGTTGTAGGTGACCCTTTCCCAAAGAAAGTGCCCTTATTTTGTGGTGCCCCCCCCCCCCCCTCACTCTGAAAGACGAGCCCACCGTCCCTGCCTGCATAGTCACCCCGATAATCTTTGCAAGACATATATCAAACTGTGAAAGGGGCTGTCAGTGTACCGCCATATTCCGTTTTTTGTTGTGCCGTGATTAATATCATTGTCATCACCATAATATAACATACGTAGGAAAGTACAGAGATATGTTATGTTACCACACGAGAAAATGTCTGTATAGTCTGGCCTTGAGTTGCAGTAAATATTGCCAATTTATATACCAATGATGTGACAAGAAATTTAAAGGTCATATTATTTGAATATAGTTTCCATTAATGTTTTCAATCTAGGGACCTGAGAAATGTTCTATGTCAGCTGAAAATACGTCATGTGCAGGATGCACTAAATTTCAATGTCGTATGTTTCTTCACGGGAACATACTATGTGCAATTTGCACACTATAATGCTCCCGTCCAAACGCAGAACCACACCCCGCGACGTCATTTCTTACCCAAAACGGTACGCCTGTAAAATCAATATCCCAGAATGCATCTGATAGCCTATCTAGCTCCATACTTCCGGTTGGAGACTGCTCAGCAAAAATTTGTTTGCCTGTTGAGTCAATTTTACCCATTTAAAAAAGCATCAGGTCCCATCATACGGTAAGATTAGAATAAAATATTTTGTAGGAAGAAACTAAGATTTACGTCGAAATTGTATATCTGAAATTCATACCATAGGTCTAACGTTATATCCTTAATCATTTTGTTGCTCAAATTTGGTGTCTCGTCTACACTAGACTACAGTCCCACATTATGACTTTTGTGTGTTAACTTGATTGACATAATATTGCAGACATCTTCGTCTTCTAAGTTCTATTTCTAATTCTATAAGTTCTAATTCTTCGCTATAGTATAAGTACAGGCAATCTTCACCTCGGCTGAGGGGTTTTCGTGGACCAGTGGATCTGAGATTAAGCTATTAAAAAAGGAAAAGGAAGAAGGGAGAGAGAAATAACAAAAAACATGAAAAATGAAAATCTCCTGCACCAAAATAAAACGCACACCACATGACACACTCCAGCAAAGCATAGAGAGTCAATGCTAATGCGTATTGACCTCTCTAGCACTGCACTACGTGTTAATAGGCAGCATTTGAATACATGAATAGTCAATACACTCATGACACACACATGCACACGTCACACAATGATGGCGATGCGGCTGATCGGCAAGTTTGACAGTGGACTCACAATTGCAATTTGAATTTTTGAATTATTCTTTTTTACATCGGGTGTCATCAATCATCACTAGAGTCTATAGTACCAATTTTGAGTGAAATCTGTTGAGTTTTGTACAGTGATGTTTGATATGTTGAGAATCAATAACACAGCTTTTAATACACAGCAAGGATAGTAATGCACCTATATATGCACTTGATAATCCCAGTACGTTTCTGGCAATTTCGTCATTCCTAATGTGAGATCTTTAGTTGTAGGTCAAATCAGACATGCCCGCAATGACGTCAAATGCGTCATCAAGGCCACTTGACCGTATTACCTTTTTTTGAGGGGCGTAGCCCAGGAAGCGTGAGAACTGTGAAAAATAGATGGTTACCGGTATTATCATTTTTTGGTCAATTTAGACTTAGAGATTTTTTGAAAAATCAGAGGCTGGAATATAATAAGTAGAGGTGTATTCATGTTTTGAAATGCTATGTTAGTTGGATTAGAGTGGCTCTTTAAATAGTGGAGTGAGATTGTTTCGTGATTCTAGGTATGAGGATGCAATATTATTCTTGGAAATCACTTGACAATCTCACTCCACTATTTAAATCTTTACTCAGAGCCACAAATATGTGTGGGTTCCTTATGTAAGTGGGACACCAAAAATGTCACAAAGTGGGTCCCTAATTAATGGAATTACTCAGATACAAATTCACCCTAGCACCAAAAGAAGGGCCATTATTTCCTATTATATGACACCAAAATCTGCCTACAGGATCTTGTAGTTGTCTTTAAAAAAAATGTGTCACTGTGCCGATTCAGCATGAAAATACCTGACGGCCAACCTTCAGGCAACCTACTATTGTCCAGGTAATAACTTCATGCCTCTTCTTTTTTTTTGCAGGTTGCCGCTGTTGTCAGAAAATATCCTATCACCATGTTTCAGACCAGATCAGAATATGACAGGTATGTTAATACACGATTACAACAATATTTAGAGCCATAATTTTTATCAGAGTTCCAGCTTTTTGTTAATTTGCTTGTGCTGCAGGTCGGATGATATGATGGGCAGTTTTATAGGTCAACACTGTAATTTTCACAATAAAAACAGGGCTCCACACTAATCTTTTTAAAAGGTGTCTGGATTAAACTTTTTACAATCTTACAACCCTGTTCATGAGCCCTATGTAAAAACTTCACTATTTTGGGAATCCATACTTAGATTTTGGGAACCCATGTGTTCGGGCCCCTGCTATTGTTGAGCCCTGTTAGATATGAGTTCTGTGATTTGTTTGAATCTAAAAGAAAAATCTTGGAACTTGTAACAGTACAACAACATTATATTTTGGTCCACCCCTTCCAGACCCAGTATTCCTATTAATAATGTCATGTAACATGGTTTATAGAGTTTCTCTATCATTCAATTATTGTCTCCGCCTTTAATTGAGGTAAAGATATCGGTTTGTAGACAAGTTTCTATTATAGACATTGATGCACAATAAAAAAAATTATACTAGGCCAAATACATTAGAATATATCCCTGCTCATGCACAATCATGAAGTACGAATTATGAAGGAAAAAAATAATGCTTAAGAATCAAAGAAAGAGTAAATTGTATTCAAATCTTGGTTGATACATGTACTATTGCACTGCTCTCATTTTCCTTCACATTTTTTTTCTTCTGCAGGGGAGTCAACACCTTTTCTCCTGAGGGACGTCTTTTTCAAGTTGAATATGCTATAGAAGCTATCAAGGTTTGTTATTTGTGTTAAGTTTTTGGACTGTTCAAGAGCAAAATAAAAAAAAGAAAGAAAATAAACAGAAATGAGTTCCAAAATGTTGTGGTGGCAGCCATTGAATACCCATGTAAAGTGCACTAGCCCACCATATTTTGACAGAGCAACTATGTGCTATTTACATTAGTAATAAGTGAAGAACGTGTTTGTTCCTACTTTACTTTATTGCAACTTATTATGTTACAGTTACAATTATGACGCTTATAGGGGTCCAATGAAGAATGATTCCTGAAAATTAAGGATTAACCCAAATTTAGCAGTCATTCTCTTGAAGGATGTAACATATTTTGCAGGCACAAAACCTTGTCAGTTGTGCGTTTGCCGACTGCACAGTCTACTGCACAATATAGGCTCTGTATGAAAGCTGCTCCTAACACAGTCAGAGACTGACAGAGTTCTGCACTGCTCAAGGCTTTAGGAAAAAGAAATTGTGGTGCAGTGTCAAATTAGAGTCTGTACTCCCAGACTTGGGTCAAGTGGAGAATTAATGTTTAAGCAAAAGTTAGCATTATTCTTAATCCATATTGAAATGATTTTCTCAATATAGCAGGCAGAACACATCCATTCCCCCCCCCCCCAAAAAAAAAAAAAAAAAAAAATTAAAAAAAATCCCTACACCGACCACTTAAAAAATGAAATTCCTTACAAGATATGCTCTGTCCTTCGCAGCTTGGTTCTACAGCCATTGGGATCAGGACCAATGAGGGCATCGTGTTAGCGGTAGAGAAGAGAGTGACTTCACCTCTGATGGAAGCCACAAGTATTGAGAAGATTGTGGAGATTGACAGCCATATTGGATGTGCCATGAGTGGTCTTATAGCAGACTCTAGGACTATGATTGACAGGGCTAGAGTAGAAGCACAGGTAAGGATGGGTCTATGACACATGCTTCAAAGGCCATTGCTTCATTGAGTTCCCTACCCTTCAGCCATTGAGCATCACTGTACCTAACTCTAACTTTAACCCTAAATATTACCCTAAACCCAACCTAGAACTGAAATAGTACCCTAACCCTACTGGTACATCTTTTGAAAAAAATAAGACTCGGAGCAGATGTTGCCAAAGCAAAAGTGTGACCACCAAAAATATTATTGAATTGCTATTGGTTAACAATAGAGACTGCTTGGCTATAAAGGCAACGTTTTGGGGGTCTCCTATGAATATGTAAATGTGATAGTTAGCCCTATGGTTTGCTGTACACTTTCAGTTGGACCCTATCTTATGTCTAAACCATAGTAAGAAAGCCCAAAGTTTAATATTACGGTAATCCAATGTCCTTTGTTAGACACAACTTGAGACTGAGTTTGAGAGGCCATTATGCTTTACAACTGAATTAATCCCCAAAAAGATTGCTAGCTTTCCTCCAAATGTTGCAGTTATTGTGTCATATTGTAAACATCACTGAACACTTTGTAGATACAAGCAAATGTTAAGGTTCGAAGTAACTCTGTAAGATCCAGTCTTATGTAAGTTGTCTATTCTTGTGCTTATTAACATTCATCCTTTTTAAAATCCTTTGATTTGACAGAGTCATTGGTTCACATACAATGAGAAGATGTCTGTAGAGAGTGTAACTCAAGCTGTATCAAACCTTGCTCTTCAGTTTGGTGATGATGAAGCAGGATCAGGTGCCATGGTAGGTAGCTTCAACTTTCTCAAAAGCCCTCATGGGATTTGTTATTGTTATTGTTATTGTTATTGCATTTTATTAGCTGGATTATTTCCTCTTTTTAGCTGCCACCCATTCCCATTTCGGAGGAACTTATCCAATTCTTTGGCCTTGAAACTGATCTTTTGAATCCTAGACCCCCCTTTTAAATGCTTTCAATATATGACTTTTTAAATACATACCATTTCATTTGAAGAGAAATAGACTTTCACAGCAATTGAGATTTAAAAACCTTGTAGATTTTTACTGGGAATTACTGAAATGAAGTTAAATTTCAATCTCATATTTTAAAAGTGAGTCACCCGATACATTTCACAAGAGACTTGCATGAAGATATTAGCTTTTGTGATTTGTCAAATGTTTCCTGTGGCATAGCCATTTCATACTGAGATGGTTCAAGTGTGTAACCCTGTCATTATATGGGGATATTGGAAGGGGTGGCTATGGAGAGAATAAATATTCGATATCAATTTTGGCATTTTATATTACTCTTCTCTCTCTTTACACAGAGTCGACCATTCGGAGTAGCCTTATTGTTTGCTGGTATTGATCAGAAGGGACCTATCCTGTAAGTATCTATATTAATTTCTTTGGATCATCCAATGTATTTATTACTCTAAGAAATTGATTATATATTCTCCTAAATACCAATAAGAAACACATCCAAAATTCATGTTTATCCATTCATATCAATTAAGTCCTAAAGCTCTTAGAGTAAAATGTTATGTGCTTGAATTTATTTTGTGCAGATATCACATGGATCCCTCCGGTACATTCCTTCAGTTTGATGCTAAAGCTATTGGATCAGGATCAGAAGGAGCTCAGTCACAATTACAAGAAGTTTTTCACAAGGTGAGGTAGTGACCCGACATTCTCTCTGGCAACAATTGCTTGAGGCTTTGTTCATCAAACATGTAGGGGGTAGAGTTGTGTTTGGGTTTTAGGGTAAGGGTAAGTGTAAGGTACGATGTTTGGTCCAGGCTTTGGATCGTAGAGTAATCATTGTAGGAGCCTGTACAACCAGTGAGGTGACTCAAGAACACCTCAAATTAAATTGGCTTCACCTAATTATTCTACTCTATAAAACTAGAACTTTCTTTTTTGAAAATTTCTTGAGATGCCTGAATTTGTGAAATTTCATATTGCAAAAGTCTTTTTAAGTGATGAAAATTGCAGATTGATTTTGGGTTTTACAGCATCTAGGCTATACATTGTGCTTTTATTTTGTAAGGACTGAAAGTACAAAAAGGATAATGGTAGCAGGTTTTATGATTATATCATCAGAAGATCTTTTTTGAAATAATGCTTTTACTATTGTTGAAGGAATTCAACCTCAAATTACTGGCATGTTTACGTATAGTAAAGAGATAACTGCATGGAATGTGGGGTTCAAGAGATTGATGAAAACAGTTAAATGGATTCAGTGTTACCCTGACCAAAACACATCAGAGTTAAATGGAATTAAACCTAGCAGGCATTTAAAATTTTTGAGTGATTTGGTTGCGTTTAAAACTTGAACATGCACATTTCTCCAAACAAGTTACTGAGTAGATAATTACAGTTCAAGAAAAATGTAAAAGACACCTTTCTTTTGTAAACAATAATTAATTTTAAGCACACCTTTTTGGGGGGCCACATAAAAGTTGATTAAAATATGCAATGACTGAGCCAGTGTGCAAGGCAGTGCATCCTAGATTTGCATACACATCTTGGCCCTGTGTTATCACTTTAATAATATAAAATTATGCAGGGTAGAAAAGAATATATCACAGTCATGTGGCTTCATTTATTTTAACTACATACATTGTACTGAACCCATTTTGTAAAATAAAGTGTCTCATGATGAAATATGATCTTGTCTTATACTTTTTACAGTCATTGACATTGAAAGAAGCATGCAAGGAATCACTAGTCGTACTCAAACAGGTCATGGAGGAAAAACTTAGCTCAACAAACGTAGAGGTGAGTGAAAACATTCAGAAGCAGTGAAAATATTCTAAAACCCCATTCAGACATGATGCGATAAACTACCTTATAGACACCTGCAGCAGCAGACAAAAGAGGGATTGTGGGTTCAAATCCAACCCAGCTGATGACTGAAGCCTGCGTTGTGTGTTAACTGCCCCTCCCTTGATTCATAGACGCATGCTATGTTACAGTGGAAACACTGTTCCATGGATAGGACATTAAATGGAAGCCCTGTGGAGAGGAGAGTCACCACATTTGCACATTAAGAACCCACTGCACTCTTTGTATAAGAGTCGGGGGAACTCTGGTATAGTTGTCCACCTGCACACCCTTAATCAGTTATACTGGGAGGTGAGCCTTGAGGGTTACAGTGATTCAGGTTGCCAAATACTTAATGATAATTAATGATAATAATAATAATAACAATTTGAAGATTAAATTTAAAATTATTATTAATGCCCATTATCATTGAAATTGATGTAAATATGGTTTTGTTGATTTTGGTCTGAAGTACTATAAAATTGCATGTTTTCGTCTTCCACTGTCATGAGTTGGGATTCTCCAAAATGGCAAAAATAATCACACCATGGACTGTTTATATTTATATTTAATATTTAATATTTTATTTTATATTTATATTTAAAACAGTATATAGATATCATTTCTTAACAAACCTGTAGAAAAATTTACAGGACTTAGACAAGCTCTTTACCTGGGAAATACAATTGGTATGAGAATCCACCATAAAGTGATTCCCAAGTGTGCCTGTGAACTTTTTAATGGTACATGACCCCTGGTGTAGAAACTTGGTAGGATTTATTCCTTGGTTGCACTGACCGCTATATGGTTGCCGGAGCTAAAGCTGGGGTAATGTTATCTAAAAGTCCTTTGGATGCACATAGAGAAGTTGTATCATAATTGATAATAATTGGTATTCATCAAGTTGTATTTATTTTGTCTTTTTTTTTTACTTTCCCCTACAGGTGGCAACCATCACACCACAGAATAAGTTCCAGATGTTTTCAAAAGAAGACATTGAGGCAATCATAGCAGAGATGTAGGAAACACAGCTGATGTCTGTATTCTTCTGTTGCTTTTTGTATTTTGGGTCTCACAACTCCAACAGATTACTTAAAATGTCTTTTTTATCAATTCTACTGTAAGCCAAGACATACTCATCCATCATGTAATGAAAGTAGTGACTGGGAAGAGGAGGTAGTACAGTGAAACCTGCCTTAGTGGCCACCTGTTTAGAAAGACCACCTGTCTATAAAGCCTTTTTTTTTTGGGGGGGGGGGGTTAGTGTTGCTCAATGAAACAGCACAACCTTTACATTAAGGCCACCTTCCTATATAGACACCATTCCTTGTCTTACTTGGGTGGTCTTGATATACATGTTAGACTGTATAAATGTTCATAGCTACGTGCTTATCAGAAACTGGAGGGATTTGTTTTGAATTGACTTATTCTCAGATACGCTGTCCAACAACATGGCATCTTCAGAGCAATGCCGTCCTTACGTCAACTTTAGGGAAATGACCGACAATCTATCAATTAATGTACCCGTATGTCAATACTCAGTAGTGTTGTTCTGAAGCTTTCTGACAGTTTAATAAGTTTATTTTATTTTCTGTTTGCTAAGAGGTAGTAGGAATTGTATTTGTAAAATGCACAAAGTGTTCAGTTTACATTGACATTTTCATTGAAAGTGTCATTCACTTTAATTTTCAAAGTATGATTGTGCTTTTACATGTGGTATTACTATCTTGTATTTAATTCAAATAATTCCAAAGGTACAACATTTATTGTATTCTGTGACTTAACGTGAAACTTTGTGAAAGGCCTCTGCCTATATGAGCTCATAAAATGAGACCAATGGCTGAACAGGATCATTCTGATAAGATTGTCTTGTTGGTTAGGCAAAAGTATACATGGTTTAATGTACTTGCAAGTGCGGTTCTAATACATGAACCACACAAAGGGGACTTTAAAAAAAAATACCAATCTTTAAGTCTCCCAGAGAGGGGTATCTAACAACGGTATTATGTTAAATCATAATTAAATGTGTACATTTCCTTGGTACTTCCAAAGCACCTCCTTGTGATGCTTCATGATCATACATGTAGCTCACTGATTTGGACCGATGGTAAAAATTGACTTTGTGCTTAGAAGCCTATATGGACAAAGCTCAATATCTTCTTGAAACTCGGGGGCCCAGACAGAAAGTCTTTCTCAGTCATAGGTAATCTGTATGGAGTTGTGGTAATTAATTTTCCTGTACATATCATTTTCATACGGCAACCAACATTCTTTTGTTAGATTTGGATTGTTAGTCTGTTCCATCATATGTAGACTGATTTATGTGTAACATTAAAATACTCATTAAATGGTAAAAAATTGTGAGTTTGTGTGCTATGTTTTGTTGTCTTTTTGATGATGTTAAAAGATATCAGAAATTGCAATGCTATTATAGAACTTCATCCCTATAAATTCAACAATTCAATGATTGGCTAATTTCTTTCATCATTTATACTGTGTTCAGAATTTTCTCTTATTAAAAGCATAGCTGTAAGCACCATGTATGTTAAACACTGCACTGTTAAAAGTCAATGGCCATGTAACTGCTGTATTGTAAGCTACAAAATGGCTATTCATCCATCAAATTTAAACTATTGTGCCAACTGGTCATATCTGCCAAAACAGGCCATATAATCTCAATACAATGGCTGACTAGCTCCATGGCAGAAGATGGGGCTCATTCAAACATTCAAGCAAAGTAAAATGATCCACACATTTAAGTACACAATCGTTTCGTTTGACTCCATTTATTAAATTCATGGTTAAATATCAAATCTTCATGATAGTAGAAACTGAAGTACATGTATAGCTAGACATTGTATAATTCACGGAGATATGATTCTGATTAAAAATTATTTCCATTCAGTGCATGTATCTATATGAGACATCACAAGTACATCAAGATATAACTTTCCCTGAATGCGACTGTTTGGGAATGCTTCTACTGATCACTAGAGTGCATCAGCCAATTCCAGACAAAGTGTCGATCATGCTGGCTGCAGCCATTCTGTTCAAACGATAACCCTAGTCGCAACTTAGAATGCAGCCCCTTTAATTTTTCTTAGAGGTTTTTTGTCAAATTACATTCATGAAGAAGGCTTGATTATAATGTTAGCATTATCATATTCACATAAAGAGTATATCCAAACCACAGTCAACATTGAAACATGTATGATCTCCACTGAGTAGAATATAAGAATAGGATAGAATGCTACTTCAACAAGTTTACATACACTTGTGAAATATCAAATTTTAAAGAAAATGGACATATCCATCAAAGAGTATTTAACTACCGGTAGCATATATCATTCAAGCGAAATGTTATTTTAAAATGTAATAGGTTCTGGTTTTTAATTCATTGGATAAAAACTAAGCCTCTTTTGTAGGAACAAAATTACTTGTATTTAGGTTTACAAAAATAATATTTCATACATGATATATGCAGGTATTTTTTATTTTGAGGGGTTACATCAATTTAGATTTCATTACAGTTATCTATAAATAGAAGAAAACAAATCAAATGAATAACTTCATGTGTTCTTTTGAAAGGAATACCGGTAAAAAATTATCTAAAAATGGGCAGTACACAAGCTGTTAAAACCAAAGCTGAAGGGATTATGACATACATCTTTATCTGAATACATTCAACTCAATAAATTTACAAAACTCTGTAAAACCTCCCCCAACTGATACAACACGTTGAACATTAATCGAGTGACATCCCAAAAAGCAAGTTGTTGATAAATATTATCAGTAAAAACAGACAAATCAGTGAAATGGGTTGATAATTATTTTGTATAGCAAAAGTTTGATGAAGGATAATAATGTGACAAATCTTTGCAGAAGTGAAGATCACTATTAAATACTGTGACAACTTCATGATTTTCATTGCAGTTACCCCTTACCTCTTTAGTACACGTAAAAAATCACAATTTTCTTTATGCTCCTGAGGAAATTAAAAAATACTTATTAAAACCATGAAAACAAAATGTTTACCACAGGGATTATCTTCTTATGTGACTGCAATATAAAATGAACAGTTTTTCACCAGTTAACAAAAGGAGGGACATCTTTACACTTTTCTGTACAAAACAAAAGTTGCTCCAATAGAAAATCATTTAACGTAAAGTGATCTTATGGACTTACATTTTTGGGTGAACTTTTTTTTGTCTCAGATTTCTTTTAACAACTTTAATTGATATGTTTTTTTCTACTTTTTGCCATTATTAATTTTACCTTGATGTCAGGGTTGACTAAATCCTAAAGCATTACAAAAATTATTTTGTATCTACTTAGAAAAAAGAGCTCTTGCACGCGTAGGGTTCATTATCATTACAAACAGTGAATCAATTCACTTTCAATAGAAGTACTTAGTACTTACATAATCAATTTACATCCATTGACAAAAAGGCATTGACACACAAAAAAAAAACATTTAAAAGATACAAAATTGTGAATTAAAAAAATTCTTTTGATCATCAAAAAGATAATTACCCTGCTTTCTTCATCACGAATATCACGATGCAAATTGGTCAGGCTTCAATGTAGATTTTAAATTAAAAACAAGGTGCTGTTGGGATGAAGAATTATGACTTGGTGATCTAAAATATGAAATGTCATTAATCAATTTACAAAGATGTTTTGACTGCACAATGTAACATTGAAGTTACTTCTATTCTATATATTACACACTATGACACAGTGTATGTATGACATTTCACTGATCTTACAGAGCTACAGTACCAGTATCATGAGTATGTCATCACATGTGAAGAAACATTTGATTTTCTTAGTTAAATTGTTTAAACATGTAAATGCAAGAAACAACTGTTACACAATGCATAACACGGAAATTGTTATGAGATACATGTACCTAAATATAAACAATTCCCAGTGTTGCAAAAGTGAAAAGTAACAAGGTTTTTATTACGACTTATTCCTACAAATGTATATTTTTCAACAGTAATTACACATTTTTCACTTTAAAGTGTCTATGCAATTACTTTCTTTTTATAAAGAATTTCAGAAAAAATACATTGTAATATTCATAAGCAAGGTTATACCTAGTCACTCATGAGCATACATGAAATAGCCCAAAGTGTATCTTAAAATTATTTGACTCCCAAATCATGTATAACATGTCACACTAAATCAGAAATATACCAAGGAACACACTTTTAGAATTTATGGAAGAGGTATTGCAACAAGATATTTTCAATCACAAAGAAATGTAGAAAAAAGATTTAATGCCTGCCATTTTAATTGTACATTTTACATTACACCATTTACATTACACACAGCACACAAGAGACAGAGAAACATGGTATTGCAACTGCACCTATGGCACAGAATATCTAAATTCCAAAAAAAATCTATCACTGTGACTAACCTAAGCAAGTAAAATCACTTATATATAATCACTTATCAAGTAAGTGCCTCTACTTCTAAATTTAACATTCTAGAATTCAGAAGAAGAAAATTCATCTTCTTCTACATGTCCATATCTCTGAATAAAATGTTATCACACCAGACTATACAAATAATTCACAAGTATTTTTAACACCCTCCTACTCTAATGATTGCTGTAGCTATAACTGCCTAAACAGAACAAGACCATTTGTCTTTTTCTCTTCTTAGTTTTGTAAACAATTATTATATTAAATACCTATTTAATGATGATCTAGATCCACATCACAGCACACAATAATATAGAAAGTAAACACACATTAAAAAATATTCCTCAGGTCTATGGCACTTCACACTCTTCCCTTTCTCTGATCAGAAACCAAATGTAATCAACTTGTTCCATCAAGTAAGAGTTTCTCTGATTTGCATGAATCCTGGTTTGTATAGAGACCAAAAACATGGCCAACCAAGACAGCTGCAAGACGTTTTAACATAAGAAACAATACACTTGTTCTTCCCAACTTCCTTCTGATCTTCAAAGTAGGCTAAAACAAAAATATACAAAGCAATATATACACACAAATTCCTCAGAAAAATAATAAATGAACCTGGACTTAGTTACTTTTGTCAAGGACGGCTATCAAAACAATATAAATCATATACGAAGTTTCCACAGAATTAATATATATGCTATAACAAATAATTACTAAAATGTGGTAAGGTACACATAGATCACTTACAAACTGAGTACCAGTATATATATTTAATCATTGAAGATTTTTTTTCTTTAAAACACAAAATATACAAAAGATATTAGCAACATTTATCATTCATGATTATCTGGGTACATTTTATTAAAAAAGAAAAGAAAAAATATTAATTAATTTGGATAAAACCTATAATTCTGAACATTATCAATCATAAATTCATACATAAATCATGCCACTTTATAAATATTTATATTCCCCTACTGTTGTTCCTTTTCATGAGGAAAGACTCGCTCAGATATGATGCAGCAAATCAAGCAATCCTGAATACTAAGGCATTGTAAATTAATATTTAATGTATTATTCTATAGTTAGCAATACCTCTTAAAAATCTGAGTTGATGTAATTACCAAAAGTGGCATAAACAGCTGCGTAGACATTTAACAAACTCTGGTAAGATATTACAGAAAAGGTGATGAAGTTCATTCAAACTTCAAAGTTCAGCAAACAGATTAACTGAACGTGTGTCATGATATTCTAAATAGCAGATTTACATGATGGAAACAAGATTAAAACGATTTGTAGATTGGTTTCTCAAATCATGTGAGCAGTGCATGAGAAAACATAAAGTAAAATTCATTTCAATTCTACGAAAATTTTGAAAAGTTGGTAATTACTTCGAAAAGTCAAGCGAGTTGGGAAGAATACTGTGTTTACATTTTGTATGCCCACTTCAAACTGGACTTTAATTCAATAGGCATATTGAAATCCTGATTTGCATTATAATTCTGGATAATTGGTACACATCTTTATAAGGACTTAAAATCTAGATACATTACAAATCACTTCTATACAAGCTTAAAATCAGATTAATCATTAAGGAGAGCATTGTAATACAGACTTATCGCCTTATAAATAACTTTACAAATACATATCCACACCATTTGTAAATGTTTCATTAGATACAAGAAAAGAATCTCAAAATGACAAAGCCTTGAAGTAGTATATTTCAGTCAAAATTCAGCAATGAGATCAGAGCCTATCAAACATGATCGGCAGATTCTGATATTTCAACTACATGAATAAAGCTTTCCAATCAAGATTAAAGATTCGATCATGATAGTATATAAATTAATCTGTAAAAAGGGTTATATTCACGAATGCTATTTTAGACTACATTTTGAACACATAGATGAACAGATGAGTACAGAATCTCAGCACCCTTAAATCACTCAATGACAGACTATGAGAGAATAGCAGATACAAGGAAATTTCTAAAAACTGTCATTTTTGTGGTCTAGCACTCTAAGGCTTGATTGGGAACCGTCTTACTTGGTCCTGTTCTTAGAGCCTTGTTTGACGAGATCTATCTCAGCCCTCTGCCGAATCTCATCCAAAGTCTGGTCCTTCAGAAGCTGCCCATTCTCATACACCAACTCTAGAAGATTCTGAATGAGAGACGAAAGTAAAATACGGATGAATAGATGAATACATGTAGGTGTACTAGTCACTCTTCATAGGGAGAGCAAATACATGACAGGGAGGGATTAGACCTCCCAGCAAGGTCACTGACAGGTGGCTATCTCATCAACTCAGCTCTACCATTAACATAATAAAAAGAGGATCATGGGGGACCAACGGGCACCGCTTCTGCATTATTTTCTATACAGAGGCAACAAGCAGCTACAAGTAGTACAGTGGGGCTTTAATTTAATTCATTTTGATTAAAGTTGAATCATTTGTTAAGCAAAGTATCATAATTTGCATATGAATCATTTATATTTCACAGTACAAAAGGATTACTTACTTTATTTGGGTCCCCTTTCCCCTCTTCTATTGTAACAATCTTTCCATCAACCTCCTGCAGGGATAGCTGGCCTTTCTTGGATTTCTTGCCCAGGTCTGTGGAAGGCTGCTTGAATACATTCCTCTGAAAGACCGATAAATACAACAATCAGCATTAGAGTGACATATCACGATCATTTATGATAGATTCATAACCGTTCATATTTTCACTTTTGATGACACAACTTTTACCCCAATAACACAATTATAATTCAGAAGTCTGATGATATTCACATTTTGTTACACTCAAAGTGGAAGATATTTAGAAACATCTTTCATGCACTTGTTTCTATAGTATATATATTTGCCATAGAAAAAAAATGAGATATTCAAGAAGTCTAATGAAAAAAAGGAAACAAACAAAATGTACCAGAAACTTTACACAAAGGACAAGCCAAATGGCATAACAATTATCAAAGTCATATTACATGACAATACACACAAATATTTGCTTTGATTCTGTGATATCAACCATGTATGGCTCTTTCATAGGCAAGGAAGAAGAGTAAGACTATCAAATGGGAGCATGCTGATGAAATATCAAAACTAAGAGCTAGATATCGTTATGAAGAATGCACAATTAAGAATGAATGCACTGCTCATTTCACTGAACCACATTTGGAAAACACAATATATCAAGTCAAAGCTCTTACCGATTCACCATCAACGACACAGTAGCTGCACTTGTAGGCACACTTCTGCGTATCCCTATTGTGCTTCTGAAGAAGAGAACCCCCGCTGCCGAAGGTGAGGTTGTCAGCGCTCCACTCCAGTTTCTTCATCCTGCTCAGGATCTGCTCGATGACATCGTAGTTCACACCGTCTCCCTGGATCACTCTGAGGTAAGGCGGAAGCATCTTGTAACCCTTGGAGTTCTTACTGCATCCAAACACCTTGCTCAAGATGGTTAATACCTACAGGGAAATAAAAATTACCTCAGTTAAAGCCCCACTTGTAGCTTCTTGCCCCCTCTATATAGAAGACAATGCCTAATAGGTGACCACTGGTCTCCCATGATCCTCTTTTTCATATATTAATTGAGAGCTGAGTTGATGAGATAGCCACCTGTCATTGACCACGCTGTGTGGTCTAGTCCCTCCTGGCAAAACTAGTACAGCTGGCCTTTAAAACACAAGTAGCAAATGGATAAATAGTGTGCAGACAGTTGCCTTTATTTGTGAAGGGCATAATGATAAGGTTCAGGTTAGGGTTATGTTTAGTGTTTCGTTCAGAGTGGAAGTAAGGAAATTGGTTAATGATATTGACCTCAGAAAAACTGTTACTGGAGTGAGTGTCATATAATGTAGGCATTTTCCTGTCTGATTTCACAATGGAGGTTTATCTTATGCACACAATGTTCCATCACATGAACATAATGTAAATGTATATGCACATGTATAATTGATAACTGAAGATATATGTCAAGGTAGGTTTTAACCACTTCACACTTGGATGAGACGACTTACCTTCATAACAACCTCGCTGGGCTCTCCTGAGTCAGGTCTGATGACGAGTATTGAACCTGACTCCCCTCTCTGGATGACCTGCTCCCTCAGCTCCTCACCCCACACCTTCTCACAAGCATTGTAGATATCAAAGCTGTCAGAGACCACTGCCACCAGGCCAGTAGGGAACTGGTCCAGCATGTTCTTGAAGGCTTCCCGCTCTCCATGCTTCCCCCATGTTGTAATTGTGCTGTAGCAAAAGGAGGTCAAAAAGTAGCTTTTTGAAAGCACTAAATTTTTAGGGTGTGGGGGAGTGAGGGTTAAAGATACCTTTTTAGTAGTACCGGGGGTCAAAACAGACAATTTACAAGATGCCTTCAAGTTTGGGGCTCTGTAAATACTAATTCCAGATCGATAAGAATTTCCCATATTTGCCATGCTAAAATCACATGTCATGAACAGCCATCAGAACAGCCATGAATATGAAATATAACTACAATGTATCCCTATATTCTGCTCCTGTGCAGAGCGGGGTTTCACACCAACTTTGTTCACACAGGGTCCGAAATAAAATGTATAAGAATCGTGTGCATGGGGCCCTGTTTAAATTCCAAACATTAGGGAGTCCGGCCCTCATCTGATAAAGAGAGTTGCGAAAACAGGACCCTGGAGTTTAAAAAAAATGGGGGGGGGGGGCATATGCACAAGGCACCTGAAAGTGTTGAGTCCTGGTTAAAAAGCCATTAGCTGCAGATTAAAACCAATGACAAGAACATTATGAATTGTACATACTGATTACAAACCAAAGCATTCATTGTCTGTTTGGAGCAAGAAGGGCATTAAATCATATCCTTTAACACAGAGTTAATGCCCTTTTGGCTCCAAACACCTGAAATAGTATATATATCTTATTTTTAAATCTTAGAACTAACCTATGTTCAGCAGCAGGAATTGAGAATCCAGCCATCTTACAGGAGTAATACTTCTTAGCCATAACAATGCCTGCTATGGTGTCTGTTCCTTGAAAATTGACCAGATGGGCAGCCGCACCGATTCCAGCAGTCTGTAGAAAGTAGAGAGAATAAAAACAAGCGATCAAACACGGTAAATTATGTAAACATTTTCTTCGTGTTTATACAAAATTGTTCATATAAAACTGAATCAAATGAATTTAAGCTTATAGTGATTAAAACCCGAGAAGTATTAATAACTAACATCCCATCTTGTTTGAGGAAAAAATCCAATCCTTTCTATCAAAGATACCACCTTGATGGTCTATCATTTGAAAGAAAATCTTTTCACAGCCACAAGGCAGGGTGTGACATTTTCTGTGGTATTCTACACCTAACCTGCAATGTATGTGTTCCTACCTTGTGTGCACAAACTTTGCACTTCATAATGTACCAAAACTGGTATTGCAACTGTCTTGTCTGTATAATTAGTCCTGCTGTGTATTCAGGGCTCTTGCCATTGTAGAACACTCTTGGTGCCAACTTAAAAACCAAACGTGGAGAAGTTCCCTCAACTTGCAATCAAGGGTTACCAATTAGTTACTAGTCTGCAGGCACAGAATCTTAAATGACACTTTTACACAATTCCATAAGTGTTGAGCCACGTCTAGATCTGTCAGTCTCCGGCTGTTTCAAATAAGAGCAGCCTAAGTACAGAACCTAGTAACCTACATGTATATGTGGTGCAGTAGACCGTACAGTCTACATAGTCTCTTAGTTCAGACACACTGTTATGCATTACAACTGATAGAGGTTTGTGCTCGCAAACACCGAACACCCAATAAGTGCTTAGATGTCTGGCTGTACTTGTTCCTTGTGAAGCTATTTAGGTTAGGATTCGTGCCTGCAGCTCAGACTAAATTACCTCAACTGATGACACGCCTCTGAATCCAAAGTCATGGAGCTTGAAGGGAAGGCCTGTCAGATTATCAGCTGTCTCACTCAGGTACTTGGCTATTAGCACCTTTTGTACTCTGGAATTCGTTGCCACCGTCATAGGGTACCACACCTGCACCATCAAAGTCTAGAAAAAAAAGTAAAGATATTATTTTCTGCTCAAATAGTGCTTAATACATCGACAATGTTTCTAAGCGCTGTACAGATATTATTACACTGGTCATCGGATTCAGGCTTGGTCACTTACAATGTATGTACATTCTCTACATACTCTGATGCAATGTTATGAACGCTCACAATGCTGAGCAAACTACAAACAACTTGTTGGAGAATGGCAAATTTGGATTAATGCCAAAGACGTTAGTGCTGGCTGGGATTCAAACCCTCAACCCTTGGAATGAGGGTCAAGTGAATGAACCATTACACCATGACACCTCCACAATACACAATAGGTGAAAAAGGGTCCTTCATATGTTTGATTGGATCTTTATACGTTTTGCACTGATGAATGAAGTACAATGACTGAATGATAGTGCAACGGAAATAAATACTGTACATGAGACAAGGTCCCCTGTCATTAAAAGTTCAGTGATAACACAAGAACAAAGAGGAGGGGGAACATTTACCTCAAACCAATTTGTAATCCATGGGACTTGAGGGTCTGTGTTTTCTACAGTGAAGAGGACATTCTTGTATGGAATCACAGATCCTTCTGGCACAGCCTTTATCTTCATCGGCAGGTATCCACCATGTTTCTAAAGATAAAATTAAACCAATGAATGAATGAATGGTTATCAATGTCTCACTTTCCAAGGTGTGATATTCATTTTCAAACTTTGTATTGTGATGGTGGGCAAACGAGGCTTCCCATATTAGACAGTTTGCCAAATGAAGATATCTGCAGCTCTGCCTCAAACTTTATAAACACTTATCAATTACATTATCAAATCAAATCATATATTTAAGTATCAAAGATGCTAGTTTACTCCATAGTTGATGGTGAGTTAAAACAAAATAATGTCATCTGCTTCTCCTGTTATCCTCACAACATGAAACATTTCTATCACACTTGCATGCAAAATGATGCAATTAATTTCTTCAATATTCTTTCACAAGATGTTCAATTTAAAGAGGTACTTATATCAAGTTATCAACACTGTCTTGAAGATTATATTCTTTAATACATAATGTATTCCAACACTTGTAGTGTAAGTGATTAGTGTGTTACAGCAGTTCAAGTGCTGGCAATCCAGGCCTGCCAATTACTGTCCAACTAGTCATACGTTGTGTCGGTACATACCTCTAGAATGTGTGTCCATCCTGCTTCATTAAAGTGGTCTTGCCCAAAGTGAAGTTTATACAATTCTTTAGCTTCAGCGATCTTCTCAGCCGTGATGACTGGGCCACACAGCCATCGCTTCAGGATGTACTGGAGACCAAAGAAAACCACTTCCGGGAACTTGCCACCACGACTTTCAAAGTAGGAGGAGACAAGAGTGGTGCCATCAGGATACTGTCTGTGATGGGTGACCTGTGAAATATTAAAACACAAATGACAAGAAAGGGGGATGAAAATAATCAATTTAAAACATCTTCTAACTTGTTCTTGCTTAGACCGAATTTTCTGTCTCTTTCATTCGTTAGCCTCTGATTTGGGTAGGGTCGGCTCCTCTCTTTAGAGCCGACCCTACCCAAATCAGAGGCTAATTAACGAAAGAGACAGAAAATTCGGTCTAGTTCTTGCTTTGTTATTACATTAGCCCCCAAAATATCTGAACAATAATACACCAACTGCATCTTCTCAGACCTACTTCTGCACCTGCTTCAGCAAGACATGTCTTTACCATATATGGCTTGTCAGTCACCCGGAGCAGATCTGCACAGACAGAGGGAAACCCTCTTAAATCTTCATTTGCAAAGTAGTGCACTGCCCAGTCGCTTGCCCAACCCGCTGAGAAAATAATGCACCCTCAATGCTAAAACATAGACAGTCCTTTCATTCATACTCTTGCAAACGGAAACAGACTTTAAATTAAAGAACCAAAATTATGAAAGGCATAGGTCATATTAATATCATACAAAATATAAACAAATTCAATAATTTAATTCTCCATAGGGGCATAGGTGTATTTTCATGGAAAGCGTGATGAGTGGAGGTATCAGCTTATCGCACTCTGTGTGGGATGCGCTGATGAGAAGAAAAACAAACACATAGAATTTGGATGAACTTGAACTTGAAATGAAACCAACTTTACTCAGACTAGAATTTAATTTAGTACTCTATCAATCTCAGACAATAGGGACTTTTAGATTTAGCCAGTGCCTTAAAATGATGTCACATGACATGTAGCACTCTTTAAGTCGACGTGCAAATCTAAAACTAAAAGTCCCTAATAATCAGCTAATGTGACTTAGCTTACTTTGTCTCTATTCTAACTGTTTTACTCACCTTGTAAGAATCCGTCAGCATGAGTATGTTGCTGAAGCAAGAATCTGTTGGTTCTGCCATTTTCAGTCTTTTGATGTCTCTTAAGGTTTACTCTAGCTTCTGAAGAAATCTTATGCAGTGCAGTGCTGGAAATCTCCCCAAGATCGAGACAGAGTTACTAGATCTACTCGTTCTCCAACTCCAAGCCTTCGAAGCGCGAAGTCGTGTGTTCACTGTACTAGTCTCTCGCAGAGGCGGAGAGGCAATGCTCCACCTGTACCCTCCCCTGGCCTGGCGGTCTGCAGCTCAGTCACATACACCTGTACCTGCAACTGCTGCCTCTCAAAGTTCAAACTCAGCTCACAAACACAGCTTATTTGGCGAATTACCGTTAGTTCGTCCAGGGAATTTCTTTACCTCGTTCAGCCGAGTCTATGTTAGATCTCCCTCTCTTGACCTTAGGTTTCCATAGAATTTGAACGCAGCGTATTATCATATTCGACGGCGCGCCGCTAATTGTGTATGTGATAAATAATGTATTACGTACGCACCGTACGTACGCACCATGCATACGAGTATGAGTACAAGTGCTGGCAAGTCTATTCAATCCTGACGTCACTAAATCGCGTTGGGGCATGTATTGGACAACATTATTTTATATTAGGCCCCTTACTCATCTAATCTGGTTCTCTAAGGTGTTTTTTTTTTTTTTTTTTTTTTTTGGGGGGGGGGGGGCTGTGGTTCTGCATGGCACAATTTGAGAAAATAATAATCTGACATACGGTAATTATAATGATGATACGAGAAAAAAGATTTTGGTGTGCCTTTTTGAGGCGGCGGGACGGGGTACTCACATATTGAGTAATGGGTCACCATTTCACACAAAAAAAATCAAAAAAAAAAATCTATCTTTAACAAAAGTATCCCTAGACATGGGTCATCTTTTTCAAAATTTCAATAATATTCGTATGTTTGCATGGCAAACACCCGAAAATCAAGTGTGGAATGATGGGTGTTACTTCGAGAAAAATCCCCCCAAATGGGGTTTCGAGGCTTCAGCGGCACACCCCTGTCCGAACCAAATCTGAGTACCACCCCCCCCCTAAAGGGCGGCGGGACCGTGACTCCCTCTTTGTTCAATACTTAAAGTGTAAAGTACGCCACTTTGCTATAGTACAGATTTCTTAAATTACATACATTACATTTTCCACTCGATCTCTACTAAGCCTGAAGAAATGGGTAAGCGGAGACGAACTTGAGAAAATAAAATTGTGTGCCCGTCCCTTTGTGTTACTTTCACACTTCAATTTTACTTTGCCGGTAATTAGTGAGCAGTCCTATAAGGGTTATACATATTTAGTCGGTAAATTTTAGGAATAAGGCAGGGAGATTTATTGTACATTTTGAACATATTATGCGAGGGGGCGTAGCGACCGAGCGAGATTATTTCTATTAGTCTAAACGCTGCACCACTGGGCCCTCCAGAGCCTAAAAAATAAGTGGCAGACTTTAGTCAGTATTTGCTATACATTTTAAGTGTGCACTTTTTCGAGTTTTTCTGGGGGAGACGATCGATCTCTCCTAAAAGAAAATGAGGGGGGACGTGTCCCCCCCCCCCACCGTTATGAAGTAACAGGTGGCAAATCAGAGAAAGACATGGAGAAATTTTTTATCCATCACGAGCATAAGCGCCGGAAGTGGGGGGGGGGGGGGCAGGGGGCACTGCCCCCCCCCCCCCCACCAAAAAGTGAGGGGGAAAAACGCATTCCCCCCCCCCAAAAAAAAAAAAAAAAAAAAAAAAAAGCAGTAAAGAAGTAAAGATGGTTTGTATTTTTAACCCAAAAGAACATAACAATAATAAAAACCTGAATTAAATCACATATAAAATTCCATTCAAAGAAAAGAAAAGTTAATTTTGTCAAACATTCCGCATGCCACCTATATTTATCAATGGAGGTTTATAAAATAGTGATACGCGCATATTGTGAAAAATGTGCTGTTTGTTATAGGGGTGAGGAGACATGAGCCCCTGAACGATGGCGTACTGATGGGGAGGTGTGTTATTTCTTATTCAATACCAGTGATTTACAAATGTTGCTGAATGACATGATTTTCCGGTATTTTTTCTCAATTTTTTTGTAAGTCATACCTTTTTATGCGTTGAATGGAAAATCAAAACAAATTTACAGTCGGGCGAGAAAAATATGCTTATTTATAGAAGCCTTCATGTCAGGGCTTGCAGAACGACTGGGCTCGGGGGCTCGAGCCCTCCTCACTTTTTGAAAAAGTATGTTACAGAGAAAAAGAAAGAAAGAGAGAGAAAAAAGATAAGTGACCTGCCATATCAAAATATGCTCATCTGACCGTAATTAAATGCCTACAACCCTCGAGCTTCCGGGGGCTCTGCCCCCTGGACCCCACCAAGGGCCCTAAGGCGGCCCCTAGATGCTCATCTGGCCGTAATTAAATACCTAAAAAAACCCGAGCTTCCGGGGGCGCTGCCCCCTGGACCCCACCAAGGACCCTCAAAGGCGGGCCCGTGGATGGTCATCTGACCTTAGTTAAATATCTAAAAACCTCTGAGCTTCAGGGGGCTTTGCCCCCTGAACCTCATCAATGGCCTTAAGGAGGGCCCCTGCACGGTTGTCATCTAACCGTAATTAAATACCTAAAACCCCTGAACTTCCGGGGGCTCTGCTCCTGGACTACCCGCTAATTAGTGACCTGCCAGTGTCACATATAAGGTATCTAAATATGCTTATCTGACCGTAATTTAATGCCCTAAAAATCCTGAGCTTCTGGGGGCTCAGCCCCTTGACCCCTTGCCGGGCCGCGCGTTTCCGTTTTACACCCTGCCCTAGGCTTTTCGGCAAGAAATTACACGAAACATGCTGTATCCGAAGTCTAAGTTTGTTTATATCGACGTCAAGAATAGCGAAGCCAAAGCTTATGTACAATTTCAATTGGGATCGATGCGAGGGTCTTCTTGTTCAAGACGGTTTTCCCGATATATTATTGTTTTGTTATCGCTGGGCTAAATTTTGCGAGCTGATCACGCATCCTCACGCTCTTAGAGTATTGCGTATTAATGGATAAAAATAAATGATACGACTAGGAAGATCAACTAGTATAGAGAGTTAGCTAGCGCTACGTGACGTTTTCAGAGTTCTGGTGGTGTGCAGAGCGCCGAGGCAAGATGTGGACGACTAGACTCCGAATACCAGTCGGTTTGTAAAATTTTATTGGAGAAAAGCCTAGGGCAGGGTGTAAAACGGAAACGCGCTGCCGGGCCTCAGGCACTGAACCCCGCGCCAATTTACGCTCTACCTGATCGTTAATACTCCACTTTGAAAACGTTCCGCGGGGCCTGCATGTAACGTGTAAGAGTGGTGGTGATGCAGATTTTTCTTCTGCGCCCCCCCCCCTTTCAAACGTTTTTGCTCATTACGCCACTGCCCCTGAAGGTGAGCCCCCTGGAATGTTTGCCCCCCCCCCCCCATCCCAAACTGCTTCCGGCGCGCCTGTCGAGAAGAATTATGAATGTCCACAGGACTTCACTAACGATAAAACTATCCGACTATAGATGCAAGTCGTCGGTGGGGGGGGGGGGGGGGGGGGGGCATCAAAAGGGTCATTCCTGACAGAACAAATTTATCCACATTTATATACCATCAGGAACTGACATATTTCACGTGCCTTTTCTGTTTCGATGAAAGAATGATTATTGTTTGAGCCGTTTTAGACTTCGATGTCATCTCTATATCCCCTTCTACAATAATATCCTCGCTTGGTTCCCAACGGCAGGCCCGTATAGCCACGGGGGGGGGGGGGGGGGGAGCACGTGCCCCACCCCTCCCCAGGACGTCGATCAATTACATTTATGTGCCCCCCCCCCAAAAAAAAAAAAAAAAAAAAAAAACATCAAACTCTGGCTACGGCCCTGCCTATAACGGGACGTTGAGGAGTATTCTAGAATTAGGTTCGTCCGTTCGTGTCTCCTTTAAAGTATCTTGATCTTCGGAGTAGTTGTTACAACCAGCCGTGCCCCGGGGAGCGAGATAGGACTCTTCAGTTGTAGCGTGCCCCCATTTAAAACAATTATACAATAACAATTAACATTACATTTAATTACAAGAATGAAACTATTAAAATTACTCTCATGTTACGGGAAAAAATATTATATATATTATATATATATAGAAGAAGAAGGTCAAGTTGTGTTGCTGATGCCGATGCTGAGGTATAGGGTCGAATTCAGGGGCGGTATTCTGAACATTGTTGTAAGTTTTGTGTTATCTTGTATCTTCCAGACATAACACAGCGCTAATATTGTTGTAAGTTGGTATTCTGAACATTGTTTTATCTTTGTGTTATCTCTTGAAGGACCGCCTCTATCTTATCTTTGACCATTGATGACACGCCCATTTTTATGGACCCTACCAATCAAAGATACAACAATATAAGGGCGCGTTCATGCTTGATTTTGAAGGCAGAATGAGCGATTTGTAACGCTCATCGTAAACGCTCATCGTAATCGCAGTTCCACGGTGCACTGTTCATGCTCACTTCTCCAGGCAGTTCTCCTTGGGTGGCCTTCAGCTGGATTCGCAAACCTGTGTGCGCATGCTACGTAGACCCACTAGAGGTCAGTGCGTTGACCCCATTTAAACGCGTTTACAAATTGTAAACGCATCTTTTTGTGAGTTTACGATCGGCGATCGTGATCGCCGTTTTTCGGTGATTCTACAAAAGTGAGCATGAACGCAATCGTGTTTTAAACTAAACGCGTAACAGATGCCTGATTCTGGCCGTCAAAATCAAGCATGAACGCGCCCTAAGAGATAACACAGGGTTCAGAACACCGCCCCAGGATTCCAATAAAATGACCTGTACCCGTGGCTCCCAGGGTAATGCTATAATCCCGATTTTAAGACCCTATAGATAAAATAACTTATTACTGCCGATATGATAAAGAAGTAACCATAATAATAATAACAGTGAATGATGATTAAGAAGAGGATGATTAATGATAATGATGATGATGATGATGATGATGATGATGATAATCATGAATAATGATAATAATAACGATGATAATAATAACTAATAATAATAAGAAGAATAATTTAATGATAATAACAATGATAATAATAATCATACATTAACAGCAACAACACTACTACTACTACTACTCCTTATATAATAGTAAAGGGCCAGTACACTGTAAAAAAATAATAGTCGAAATAACTCAATAAAATTGAGGAAAAGAATTGCCTTATTTTCATTAAGTAAATATTACCTACGGCATCTTAAGTAGAATTTACTTATTTTGCTGAATAATTTTTTACTCAGTTAAATCGAGTTACATTAACGTAAATCATTTTAGTATTGTAATCATTTTAGATAATTAAAAAAAAGCTATGATAGGATTACATATTGCACGATTTGGTACCCATCTAATCTAACTAGTAACATCCACTAATCACCAACACTACTTCTATTTAAAATTTAATCGTAGACTAC